CCCAATTGCTGGGTTTGTCTCTATTTTACCCAGCACTGGGTTGTATTTAACCCAGCATTTTTTAGAGTGTAATGAAACTTATAGACACAAGCCCATGTTTCAATCATTTTTAAAATGCTCAAAATAAAATTTAATAGATCATTTTGCAATGCAGAGATATTTCCCCTCCAAACTAGTCTAAAAACAAAATGCACATATTAATGCACACACAAGACTGCAAAACATGACTTATGTGTATTATAGACCCCAGAGCCATGTTCTGCCTTTAAGAATTCTGTTCAGTAGCTAATATTCTAAAGAAATACACTAGGATGATCAGCTGATATCTGATGTTCAGAATTAGAACAGGTGGCTGTTGTTGTTCTGCCCATTCCCATTTGAATAAACTCATTATCTGATCACTTCCTCAATGTATACATAGATTTCCCCATATCAGTGTGGAGCTGCTTTAACGTTAAAGGCATTCGCTCACCTCGTGTGCCTACAGTGGTCATGCAGGTGTCCAGAGGAGCCTGACAGTCCTGAAGGTTTTTGTTACATTCCTGATTTGATGTTGCGGAGCCACACATGTAACACTTTTAATGCATTTACTGCAAAAGAAATAATAGTCTGGTTATTCAAGAAATACAATAAAATATTAAAGCTGCAGTCCGTAAGTTTTGCCTCTTTGTCGCCATCTCTGTTTGAAAACCTGGAATTGCAGCTGTGTGCAGAATTATCTTCCTTGCGTGGGTTGTGAGTCGGCTCGGCTCCAGCGCGGATGAATCTAAAGTTCTGAGGTGAATGTGTGGCTGTCAGTCACCGCACCGGTGTGGATATTTACTGTACTTTGCAATCACAGACTCTAGTCTACATCTTGGAATATATGACCCAAATAAGAATTTTCACTGGATATTGTCACCTGAACAAGTAAGTAACAAGTCTGCCATGTTTGTTCTGACCAACTGAGGAAAAAAACATTACAATAAATCGCGCTACCAATGGTGATTTAATCTAAAGATCGGTTAGCTCATATCACATCAAACCATGCAAATTATTATTATTGTTATACTTTATTCTCAAATTATTAATGTTAACTATGACTATGATTATAGTGTGTATTACCGTGTAGATTTCAATTTCTGTACAGTCTAATCTCTAATTGTCATACCATTCAAATTTCATATTAAGAAATTATTTTACCCAAAAGGCAAATTATGCTCCCTTAGAACTGTCTGTCTTTAAAATACAAATCCTGTGTAATCCCAGGCTATCTGTAATCAGAAGCACATTTAAAACTCACATTCACATGTGTTTCATAAACACATAATCCTTTCTGGATTACAATCTGCCATCAAACTGATACATTTAATTATTCCAGCTGCTGTGAGAAAAGGCTATAAACGATCCGCCACCTGCAGCATCCTCACATGCGATAGCCTTGTAGCCGGGACAACTTCTTTATGTTTACAGACGTGACGTAATGACGCAGCAGCATGCTCGAATTTCCCGCGAAAACCTACCCGTACCACTCGAATTAGAAAACATTATTATAAACTGACCATTGTGAATCGGGCAAAATAAGGCGATAGTTTTGAACACTGGCTGGTTATGTACTTGCTCAAATATTGATTTCGGATCATTTTTAACCATAAAAAGTTACGGACTGCAGCTTTAAGCAGCACAACTGTGATAACAATAAAAAGGTTTCTTGTCGAGCACCAAATCAACACAATAGAATGATTTCTGAAGGATCATTTGACACTGAAGTCTAGAGTAATGGC